AACTCTTATGGTATTGTGAAATATTTGAGTAATAGTATTGAAATATAATTTAGAATATCCAATATTATTTTAAATACTTTGAGTATCAAGTGTTTTGACAGCATTTTAAAAAGCTTTTTTTTATTTTTTGTAATAAATATCGATTAAAAATCAATACATGAATTTGTATTTTCTGTAGAATTATTATTTCATTAACCGATTTGCAAGTACATTATCGAACATAATATTTCAGTGGTGTAATTATAAATTTGATTTGGGGAGTACTTAAATGTATTTTTAGTAATAATCTTTATACCTTTTATCATATCCAAAAACCTCTTTAAATCTATAAGAAACGCAATTGTTAAAAAATAGGTTATAACGAGCTTATAATTGATTATATTATAAGCTTATTGCTTGTTATTTATCTTTACATTATTACTACAAAAACGAATTGTTATTGTTATTTTATTTTTTTTCGAGAATTATTCAAATACATCTGATTAACAAGTAATAACTGATGTATATTCTTTAGAACAGTGCTTCTTAAAATATTAAGAATGGTGATTGAGACTAGAAATAAAAGTGCGCCTCCATCTACGAATCCTGAATCTGACACTAGCCATGATCACGAAACACTTAAATGTCCACCCACAAACGGTTAACGATTTCCATACTACCAGTAATAGGTATAGCCATGCACGAAAGATCGCTATAGTGATAATAATAGTAATAATCTCATATTGTTTTACGCCGTCGAATAACTCGCTGTCCTACAATCTTTCGCATCGATATTTGCGGCTTTGTTGAGGAATAGTCGTATACGCGTAAAAGTGTTTACATATACGAGTTCGGTGGCTTTCACGGACGGAGCCGATCGGTAGAATAATAATTAATATAGATTGTAGAACGAGAATAATATTATTACATAGCTAGTACGATATGCACACATTACCTACATATTATTATGGTCGAGATCTTAGTACAAAGTGAATGCCATCGGCGCGTAGACGTAATTTTGTGAATAGCGGAGAGTGCGGAACCACTGTACCTACTGCAAAATACCCAAAATTTGGTGAAAATCATATTATTATTAAATTACAATAATTTTCAGTGTAGGTATTACGGAAACACATCAAACTCGAAAATTGTTTCATTAAACGAGGCAAAACTATTGGACATTAAATGAAAACGTTATTACATAATATTACAATGAATATACATAATAGTTATTTACCGTTATTACCTATTAGTTATTTACGTTATTGTATAACTTAAGTGAGAAGTTTTTTTTAATGTATAGGGATTTTAAAATTTTTGTTGGGTTTACAAGTTATCCATAGTTATACACATAACGATATAATGATAAACAAAAACCAGTTTTATTTCTGAATAAGGAAATAATATGTGAACTTTATAGGATATTTTATATAACAATATTACTTATAAAAGTAAAGATGAACATGATAATATGATTGAATAAAAATATTATACAATTTAAATTGTACAACTGAAACAGTGAAATGTATTAATTAATGATATTTATAAATTATGTTGAAAATAATACAAAATTATAATATACTACTATATTTTCGCTTAGTACTTAAATAATTTGAATTAATATTATTTTGTATTTAAAATTTAACTTTCTCTGCTTAATAGGAAATTTTAAGAATAATTCGGTTTATAAGTATATAATATCTGTAGTATTAAAATAAATAATGTTTACTATTGATAATATTTATTCGGTGGATTGAATTAGTGTTTTCGAAAAAATTGCATATAAAAATGTCTTGATATGTAAAATATAATATAATAATATGCGTTGGTTAAGTTTCAAGTTCCCACATATGATATTTTTGAATTTTAACAAAGTAACTAAAATTGTTAATCTAAGTTTTAATATAAAATTAATCCAAATTTGAAATGAAAATGTATGAAAAAAGTACATATACATTTTTTAATTTTTTAATATCTGTAAATCTATGATAAATTTGAAAAGTGTATTCAATTTTAAATTTTTAAAACAATAGCTTTGAAAATTTATCGTAAAATTTCGTAATTTTAACAAATTTTTTCTACATTGAACTTTATATTTTTATAAAAGAAAATTGCGCATTTGTACCTTGTTTTAAAATTTAAATTTTTAAGCTTTTTGTAAGAGTAAAAAATAATTTGAAATGTTATTGAAATTTATTGAAAAAACTATAATACTTTAAAATATCTGTAAATATAGCTAAAAAATCCAAAATTTTACTATGTATAGAAAATTTTAATATAAATATTTGGTGAAAATTTTCAAGTATCTTAAGTTTTTTTGTTTATGAATTATCATAAAATAAAAAATGGATTTCGTCAAAAACTGGCTTTACATAAAAATTCTCGTTTTCCTCTAATACGCTTTTGTTTTTCCAAAAGTATTAAGAAATGTAATGAGAAATAGGGATAATGTTCTTTCTTTTTTTTTTCATCCCTTAAAGTACCAAAAATACCAATTAATTTCATTTTCATATATTAGAAAGTCTAAAATTTTTATTACTCAAAACACTCAAAATGATAGTAACGTACACAAACAAAAAAACAAAAAAAATACACCACTGTCTATTTTAAATTATTTAAATTACTTTAAAAAAATTCTATAGTATTCTATAGTACATTTTTAATAAGTACTACATGTTTTATTTTTCTAGTACATGGGATTTTCTTATTAAAGTGGTTACATACTTGATTGATGGTATTTAAAACTAGAATTATTTTGTAAATAAAATATGACGTTTTTGTTTGTCAACCATGACAATTATTAAATAATTTAAGATAATTGCATCACCTACACATTCAATGAATTTGGACCGAAATAATTTTTATCCAAAGGTTAGATCAATGGGATAGAAAAGCAATTTAAAACGTAATTATAACTTTTCATTTTAAAATATGCCTTTTTCATAAATTTAATATTTAATATTAAAATATGTGTATTGTGTATATAAATCAACTATAATTCCTTAATGCAATGTAAACTTTATAATATACAATGTAAATATATCTTTCGGAGGAGTTTATTAGTATAATATTATAAATTAAATACGCTTATTTGATATTATCATAGTATATTTATTGAATTATTATACACTTTGTTTGATTAAATTTTATACTCATTAAAATAAACATAATATTATAAATTTAAAAAGTAACAGAAACTAGTCATTTTTTAAGAAAATGAACCTTATTTTACTGAAATAACACCAACAATGTTTATTTATTTCAATATTACACATTATTATAAAATATAAAACATTCCTGATAATTATAAATTTGTTTGAATGAAAAACTAGTAAGTTTATTTTTAGTTTTAATTTGGATTGTGCAATCGCAATATTTGATATACAGATGTGTAACAAAATCATAGCATTCCTTTTACACAGTCCAAGTTGTTATATATCTTGTGTGTAAGTTTAATTTCATAATAATATGTAAGTACTAGTATGATCCCCGAAGGCTATGATTTATTTTTGTGGAAAGAAAGTGTTTTAAAATATGATTTAATTATACAATTTAGTCTGTCTTCGCGGTATCGTTATGATTTATTGATAATAACGAAATTATAAGAACGGATTAAAGAAAACTGAAACTTTTCTATAACTTAATGCAAAAATGCTATATAAGCACGTACTATGAACTTTGAAAGTTCTGCATGTAACATATCATAATTGAAAATACATTTTATTGTTGAAGTATTATTATTTACTATATAATATTTAAAACTAACGGGGAAATATATATATTTATTAATTTTTTGAAACAATGTCAAGTGTGGAATATTTTACTATATAATATCATTATGTATGCTGTTATACAGATTACAGTTTTTCTAGTATTATTCAGCAAGAGAATATATTTTAAAATCTGTACACACTAAATACAATAAGTAATAATATATAAATATATTGTATAAAAAAGACACATAATTTTTTTTTTTTTTTTAAGTACATTTTTGATAAGTACCACACTGGCATTTTTTAATTTTCTAGAACATGGCATTATTTTATTACATTTTCTTGTTACATATAATCACTATAATAGGATAAGATGGCTTGATTGAAATGGATATTCATTGACTCTGTCTAGTATTGTCTACTTCAAATAACGATTATAAAATCATATTTGATGTACCTAATATTTTATATTGTGCGTTTATAATAGGTATGAAGATATGCAAAATATAGTCTTTTATGTTGTAATTCTGCATGTCATTCTATACGGACGTTATGTCTGATAATAATAAAAAATAACTATTATCATTATTTTTTCTCTCGTGATCTTGACGCAAAAATTAATTAACTATTAAATATATTATTTGGTTTTTTCTCATTCAAATTGATGATTTCAAACGATTCAATATTGAATCAATTTAAACCAAAAACAAATTTTTGGTCTTTATTATTTTTAGAATAACATGGTTGTGAAACAAATTTAATATGAACTTTGTATATTCTTAGTATGTTAATATACATAATTTACAAGTAATGCTCTAAAGTTGTATTCAAACTATATGTTATTTATTTAAAATATTTCATGCATGGTATACATTTAACAGGTAAGTTTTTTAATTCACTATTTAATTCCAGGAAAATCTACATTAGGCTTCTGAAAAAACTTTTATACTATTTATACTTTACATTTTGTTAATAATTATTATATTCACTAAATATTTTTACCAATATATTATATATATATTCTTTTTTACTCGATTTTCAATCAAATATTTAATATATTTGAATAAAATAAATTCAAATTTGCTTATTGAATTTTATTTTATCAAATGCCTAACCCTCAACAATTGAACTAAAATTATATTAACTAGGTAATTAAAATGTAATCATTTATTTGTTAAGTATATTTTTTTAAATTTAATTATAGTATTAATTATGTGATATTTAATTTTTTTTCTTTTTATCTCAACAATATTAACAAGAGTTGCTTTCAAAGTTTTAATTCTAATAATTAATATGTATATACATTACCTGTTTTGAATTGAATTTGGAAATGTATAATTCAACCGAGAATCAATAACATATAAGAAAAAAAAATTAAAAATAAACATTTACTTTAAAAGTGTATCATTGGTCAAACTTAAAAAAAATATTAAACACTCATAGTTTGCACTCTCAAAAAGTAGTATGAAGCGCGTGTGTGAAACCGATCGTTACTGAATACGTTTGATAAAATACAACGTGGTTGCTGGAAGTGATAGTTTTTTTTGTTTACAATGTGTTGTAATGGGTGTGTAAAAATCATCAGTTGTGTCGGCCTTATCTAATTCACAACTCTATACTTCAATGATATCCCACCTAAGCAAATTTATTGTAAACTATACAACTCACGGACGTTTTATTTTGTATGTAATTATTTATGCTAAAATAGTTTTACTTAATTTAATATGTTAACTACATACACAAAAATACAATATTTGTATATATTTTAATCATTAGAATATTATTTTCATGTACATGTGTTTAGCAGTAATTATTTTATTACATTAAATATATTAAAATTATATTTTTAATTTATAACATAACTTTATATCATATATAATTTGTTTTTGTAATCTCAACACAGAATAGCGTAAAGTGTATACGTCTGAATTATACTTAATATAACATGTATCTTGGTGTTCTATTTTTAATATTCAATATCACTTAGAAATTATAATTTATTTCCAAAATATTTCACTTATCACTGAGCTTACAAATTATACACATTATATTACGTATATGCTATTTTCCTGGTTATTTTTTATTCTTAGTGTACTGTATTATTTTTATACAAGAATATATTACCTAAATGTACCTTTGAATTTGTAATTATTCATGTAAAATAATAAATCGCAAAAATTCGTACAAAACAGTTTTAGTTCGTGAATGAAGAAGTAATAAATACAGTGATGTACAATAAAAACACATTTTTATAATTTTTTTGAAATTTTACATAATTGAATGATATAAGCTTTGTAGATGAAAACATAATTTTAACATTGATTTTTTATCAATTTTGTTACTAACTAAAGTGTTTCAAATTAATTTAATAAGACGTAAAAAAATTATAACAAAAAAAAAATATATATATATATTATTAATTAATATTATTTATCATTAAATTATAATTATATTTTAACACATAATATATCGAAGTATTGTTATTTATTAAGTTCAAAATTGATTGCATTTTTAGTTAACAAAACTATTAATTAATATTTAAATATATTTAGATATTCATCAAATATTCAAAATATTAAACAATTAATTTTATCAATTATTTATAAAACAATCGTCTGAGTTATTTTAAACAGCGAATAATTGGAATATTTTATTATTTTATTTGTTTTTATAATTCAGAAATAAATTCTAGAAACCAATAAATTCGACTTACATACACAAAAATTAGTTTATACTAGTTAAATAATATAACACGATACTTATAACATTAAATATGATACATTATCTAATAATTTAATGTAATTATATAAAACATGATTTTCAGGTTTCTTAACACAAATTAGAAATACTTCATATCCCAGTTTATCCCATTTTGATCGTATATTAATTAACAGTTTATAGTTAAAATTGTTTGTATTAAGATATCATAATGGTTTTCTTTTAAGTGAACTCATAGTAGCTAGTTTTAAAAAAATATCAAAATACTAGTGTTTAATATAGAATTATGCTAATCTAAGTTAAAATATGTACTAAAACACAACCAAATAAATAAAATTTACCAAATTCTTTTTGAATTTCATTTTAGTTTATTGATTTATATTAAAATACGTTTATGAATAGAGAATTTAAAACTCTTCTAGAATGAGCTATGAATTACTATTGTGCGGTAAAAAAGGTGCTAACGATTTTTAATATTTACATAATTATTAAGACTGCAATAATTAATGTAAAATTTTAGAAGTTTGTATAAAATTTCTACCCAAGTAATATATCGTTAGGTTTTAATTTTTAATCAATTTGTCAATGTCTTGAATAAACAATATCTAATTGCAATTATTTTAGAATACTTCAGTTTGTATCTGATAAACATATTAACAATTTTTATTAATCAATTTATTAAAATGAATGATGTAGACGACAGCGACTAATGTTTGTTGAAAAATACTTAAACGAACAGATCATATATTTATTATAGAAGAAAATATTCTATTGTACCATATTATTTCTATGTATAAATATATTTGTAGATTTAATAGATGATTGCTAAGCAAAGTACATTAGTATAGTTATTTAGGCAATTTATTTATATATTCATGTAGTTCTAATAAGTACCTAATAACAAAAACAGGTTTAAATCATGAACTATTACATCATTGCACTTTTTCATTATGGGACATACGCTCATCATACACTTTAACTGAATTGGCCTGAATTGTCCAATACTTGAGAGTTGCAGTAATTTAATGTAGCATTAAAAAAATCGATTCTGAGTTAGTATTTTTTATATTAAAACGTGGTTAATACTAAACTCATAAAGTTAAAACTAGCATGTATTTTGAAGTTTTTTTTTTTTTTGATATCTCTTAAAAAAATATCTTATAAGAAGATGAAAACATTGGCTTAAGTTATTTTTCATTTTCTAAACAAAACTGTTAGAAACTTCGAAAACGATCAAAATATCATTATATTAGTTGTTTTCAGTTAATTTTATGGAAAATATTTTTGATACGTAGTATACGTTTGTATCTTATAGTTTCTTGAATATCATACAAACAGTAAAAAAAAAATTAATATGGAACTGTTCTACTGTAGTTTAAATACTTTTTGATTATTTTAATTATTTCTTTTTAACAATTGAACATTTAAAATGGTAAAGAGCAATTAAATATTGAATGTATTTCAATATTGTTTGAATTTTTAGAGTTTTATTTTAATTTATTTTTTGTTTTGATTCTAAAATAATATCGTTAGAATATTTTTAGAGTTATACATTTTTTCTAATTTCATGTTTCAAAAAAAAAAAAACCTAATTTTAAGAATTAAAATATTTTAAACATGAATTTTCAACGAGTAATAGTTGTAATACCTTAAGTATAGCGTAGGTTTATGTTATATAAAGTATTTAAGTAATAAGTTAAACAAAATTAACTATACAGTTAAAGTTAAATTTTTATAAATTAAAGCTCTCAGTAAAATATTGCGTTTTGGAATATTAAATAGAAATTATATTATTATTTTATTTTAAATTTCTAAAAATGACAATAAGAGCAAATAGTTAAAAATATATTTTTCTCTAAAATATTATTCTTAATTACTTTAATGTTTATAAAAAAACAGTATTTTCAATCATGCTAATACTTTTTATGAAAATGAGTGATTACATTTAAAAAATCACTTTTTACATAATATAACAATTAATTATTAAATACATTATTGACATCATGTACAGTATTAATTATTGTTTATAAATATTAATTATCAATTAATTAACTAAGGACATACCTATGTCAGAAAAATATAATAACTTATTTTAATCTTTATAACTTAATAATATTAAACTATTAATATTCGTTTCATATAATTAAATAGTAATAAATACCATTAATTAAATAAATATTTTTTTTACCATTTTTCCAACAAAGAAATCCTATTGTAATACCTTAACAATGACCTTCAGGGCTACATCATACATAATTGAATCACATATTTTATAAATAACGTAATATGAAGATTAAAAAATAACGTCATACATTATTATTACCTGTTTTTTAATATTTTGACTATTGCATATTTATTTTAATTATTGATAAGCCATAATATTTTTATTTTGGCTTTAAAGTAAAATGTTGTTGCTTACATAATATTAATCATTGAGTCCTGACAATAGTCAATAATTATTAAATAAGTAATATCTTATATTTAACGAGTTATACATACTTTGCTATAATTTTGTTCTGGGAATTGAATGCTATAATTACTTTATAACATAAAAAAAAATTGTAAATATCACTAAAATAAAATAATTATTTGTTTTTATAATTATCTTATGGTTAGATTGGTTTATTAAACATTGTAGCATATTACTTGTCGTACTTTTATGATCACGGAAATATTATTTTGTGATTTTCTCAATGACACTTAAACAATCTATTAGTATCATAACGCTAATTATTGAACTCAGCATTTTTCATATTATGTTTCCTTGCATCTACTAGTATAATGTGTTTATCTTATTTTATTGATGTTATTATTATCTATTTATTTTGTTAAGATATATTATGATAGTAAAGCTATACTACAGACATTAGAAAATTGTGTATATGTATGCTGCTTATCGAAATTTAAAATTATATTTTGATTGATGGTGTTTAATGGAAATATTTGACCAAATTATTTTCACCAAACCGTAACGTATGAAATGTTATCACCATACATTTATATCGATCAAGGCACCGCTTTAACGTGTCATCAATAGGTTTTCGTATTGTTACGTGTAGTCACTACCTAACAAATTGTTTTATTTATATTTTGTACGTAAAAGGCATTTTAGTCATTGTTGGGAATTTTTTTTTTTTTAAATGAACTAATATATTTTTATCAAGTTCAAATAAATGTAAATTATTTATCTATATCTAGTATTTTTATTTATTTTCAAAAATATATTTTTATTAACACAGAAATGGAAAATTGTAAAAATAATTTCAGAGAACTATTAAGCTGTATATTAGTCATTAAATATATATTATTAATTATATAAATTTAAAATCTTTGTTCATAGCATAATTTTATCAATGTTTAAAATACAAAATACAAATTAATAAATATACGTAAACACTCGCCAATCGCCATATAATTGTTTTCTTTACGTAGCAAATTCAATATAAGAATTTCAAATTGTCTTCTTTAATGTGTAAATACAATATTATAATAATAAACGTAACTCACAATGTATTCTGAAAATAGACTTATTTACGAAAAATATTCACGTTTATAAAAAATAAGAGTTTAGTTCACGTTAGGTTGATCTTTTAAAAACTAAATGTGATCTATTCAGCTCACATAAAATGAACTCGCTCTAAAGAGCGCCTTATTTTCTATCACTGGTTTTAAAATCTATGAAAATTCATCAATTTTATTAATATACAATAATATAGTGTACATTATTATAATCATTAGAAAAAACTATTTATATTGATATTGCAGGCACAATATAAATTCAGTTATGTACTCTTGGT